AGGCAAATTAAATCCAATGCAAGCAGAAGGAGGAAAATGAAAGAACAGATATTAATGAAATAAAAAACAACAAAAAAAAAATTACAGAGAAGAAAAATCAATTAAACTAAAGGCTGGTTTTATGAGATCAATAAAATTGATCAACTCTAGCCAGACTCATAAAGAAAAAACAGAAAACACAATTAATACTAGGAATGACAGAGGAGACATCACCATAGATCCTGGAAACAATAAAATAAGGAAATACTATGAACTTTATGCCGATAAATTCAACACCTTAGATGAAATGGAAAATTCCTTGAAAGACAAATTACTAAAGTTCACTCAAGAAAAAACAGATAACCAAATACCCCCCGTATCTATTTTTTAAACGGAATTCATGATTAAATATGTTCCCACACAGAAAACTCAAGGCTCAGATGGCTTCACTGTAGATTTTCCCAAACATTTAAAGTCTATTATCAGTTATACAAAGACTCTCCCAGATAACATTTTCAAAGTTTTATGATACAACAAAGACTTCACAAGAAAAGAAAATAACAGACGAGTATCAACACGCAACTCTTACTAAGAGACTTCAGTGTCTCCGCTGTCCTATTTATTACCTGCGACCTGCCTAGGGCCAACCTCATTCTAGGGATTGAGATGAGGGGATACAATGAATATTCAGAGAAACTTCTAGTCAGAAACATCTTCCTTGAGTTCTTTTGTGAGCTGTCAGCTTCGTAAGAATACCAAAAGCAGAAAAGTGAAGTGATTCAAAAGTAGATGTCCCTACAAATGTGAAATGCTGGGTGAATGAGAGATGAGGTGGCAGGTCTGGCCTAGCCCATAGGCTTCAGATGTCCCTTTACGAGTCATATGCTTTCTCAGTATGTATATAGGCCAAGCCTGTCTAGAATGGTGCTTATTTGATGCTTGTGAAGCCTGCCAGTCACAAAATGATTAGGGTCCTCACAAGCACAACAGGAGAAGCAGTATATAAGATAAATTTGAGGTGGTAGAAGAATGAACAACTTCAGAAACTTCTCAAAGTAGTTAGTGAGAAGTGAAAAGAAAAAAATGAAATGTAGGTAAGTCATGGCTTCAAGTACTTAATTCACCCTTATGTAGCTTGCCACGTAAGGCCATGCATTAAAACCAGGCTAAATGAACTATTAAAGCACCAGATTTGTATTAACTTAAATGTACAATACTCATTCTGACATAATGAACTAAGGAAAATAAAATATTAAATGAAATCATCTCCAGAATGCTTTCTTCTGATTTTAAAGATTCACAATTGTCAGAAACCTGCTGCAGGTAAGGTGAGGTGTTTGTTTTTTGGTGGTGGTGGTGGTGTTTTGATTTTTGGTTCTGGCTCTGTAGATCCTGGTAAATTAAGGAACTAGCCAAGTTATCTCCTGTTGCTTAAAGTCTATCAAGTAAGCCAATGACTCTGAAAGGGAGTAACTCAGGATAAAGACCCCGGTCCCTGTGATCACTGACTACAAAAGGCTGGAGCAAATGGTTTTGAATTTAAGTATTTTAAGCAGTTGCCATAGACTTGGGCACATTCATGAGTAAGGCATAATGTTTCAGACATGTGGTGTACAAATTTAGGTCCTTCTCCCAAAGACTGTGAGGCAGATTTCCTTTGTGATAAACAGAGTGAGACAGTGCAGCCACAAAGCAGAAGACACAGTAGGGAGAAAGCTGACCCTTACCTCCTTTTCCACATGATAACAGCAAATCACCAACAAATATGAGTGCTTTTCCAGGTTAAAAAGCACCCACATTTCCTTCTCTTGTTTGTTGCTGTTAATAGGTATTTAGTTGGCCCCAAACTTAAGGAAACCCCAGGCACAATGGGAATGGACTGATAAGATCCATGGGTTTTCTCCAGCTGATTTTAGAAGTCTATCACCAGACCTTTCTGCTTATTCTTAGCCTGGAAACTCTCCTGAAACCTGCTCAGCATCACAGCAGCACACAAGATTCTGCTGCCTTGTTTGTGGGTGCACTGGCAAGGAGTGAAACACGATTCTCCCGCATGGGAGGTAACCAACCACAGCTGCCTTTCTGTCAGTTATGACCTAAGTTGAAAACTTTTCTTTAAAGTTTTCATTATTATTTCCTTTTATTATCAATATCTTTATAAAAGATCTCCAAGTGTCTTCAGAGTTGGAAACATTACACATAAACTTACAGATAAATTTTAACTTGTACATATTACAAATGATAAGATATACACCCCCCAGCCCCCCCAAAAAGGTGGTCATTAAGTGTAGTTTGTCATAACTTGAATACACTGCAAGTAAGAAATTACCTGTAATAAATGTTTGTGTACATGATGTAGCATTTTAAACACACTCTGTAGCTCTTGGTAAATTAAGGAACTAGCCAAGTTATCTTCTGTTGCTTAGAGTCTATCAAGCAAGCCAGTGACTCTGAAAGGGAGTAGCTCAGGATAAAGACCCCGGTCCCTCTGATCACTGACTACAATAGGCTGGAGCATAGGGAGGGGTGTCCATGTCGAATCCTTCTTCCTCAGAGAAACAGCCACCAGCCACCTTCAAAGCAGGGCTTCTTTGAGCATGAAAGGGCTGCATCGGTTAAGCCAGATCTAATCCCGGAAAAATCTGATGTATGCCCCTCAAAGATTTCCAAAATTTTAATTAGTTACCAATCATTTAAAAGTAAGACCTGACAGAAAAATCTGAATTGCTGGCTGCTCTTTAAAAATAAGGAAAGAATATGGAAATAATGGACTACAGCAGAGTCTTGGCTATCTCACTTAGAAACGGCAAGTGCTGTTCAGTCTGCCATTACCACACCCGCAAACAACTACTGTATTTTCCATTATCGAACCTGCCTGGCCCCAAGGGCATAGCAGTGTGTGAGTAAGAAGAGGAATCTGGTGAATATCCGGAAGAACAATCACACCTAGAAAAACCAACTTTTTATCCAGGACCTAACACCAGTACTGAGTATGGTCAGCACTGTCTGTCTCAGCCACTTCCATGAAGTCTGTCTAGCAGCAAAAATGAAACTGGAAAGCAGAGGGAGAGACAAAGGAAGCTTTCAAATAGCAATCTCAAGCCTGCGTGACACGGCTCAGCAGCACATGATCTATGCACACGCATCATTTCATTAGCATCTACTAGACTCTACATGTGATTTTTTTCCCTGGACTTTAAGATCATTTATATAAATACTCTTGGTAGGTGTGATCAGTGTATGTTACCATCTGTTTCAGCTGGTATGTGAAAGCATTGTCGCTTTTCAAGTATTTCAGAACCAAATGGAGAACCGAAGACATTAAAAATAAAGTGCTAATAGGGTAAAATGGCAAACTTGAGAAAGGATGCCAGATCTTCAGAAACCTACTCTGCATTTTATTTCATGCAACATGGCCATCCATGACCTTCCTGGAGGTGGGATTTAACCCTTTGGTTTATTATCTACACAGCTAACAATCACTGGCAGATGTCATGACTGGAATAAAGCTGGGTAAAGGTCCCTCAGACAACCATCTCATCAGCAAGCTAATCCATGAGGTTGAGAATTAGAAGAAATGCCCTAACTAACCTATGCAGCTGTTAGGTTCCCTGATTAGCAGCCACCAAGACAAGCTTTACTTATTTTGATTGCCTACTCTGAGTGCCAGGGATTATTTATCTGAAAGCACCAAAGTAAAAGTCATGACATATTTTACAGCTGGCTGCAGACATAACATGGTAGCTTCATTCCTGTGACCTCTACTCCATCACTCCAGTCTCTCTGCTTATTCCGCTATATTTGTGGCCACTGCCATTTCATAGGACACAGTACACGTCCTCAGAAAGCAGGAAGCTCCATCTATGTATGGGTCAATTTTAAGGACATATCTAAAATTAATCCAGTACTTCAGAAACACTCTCTTCCAAGTTATGGAAAACAGTTTCTTTAAAACACACCAGCATATGGGAGGTCCACAGCACATGTGTCTCTATGTCAGTTAAACTCAAACTGTAGCACAGAAGGGTGGGAAACATTTCATTCTGGAAGGGCCATTTCTTCCCTCCATTTTGCACAGTATGTTCCTATGAACATTCTCTACTGAGAAATCAAAGAGGCAACTCCTCCACTGACGCATCTCTCACACGGCTTGGAAAACTCTGGGAATGGCAAGTAGTTATTAGGGTGCACGAACAACATGGTTCCCTCACAGGAGACAGGCAACACATCGTCACTCAACAGAACATTCTGTTGGTTGATGTACTCCAGACCCTTTCCAGAGTCCCAGATGCGCAACCTAGGCTAATCACCAGTCTTCTAATATGCCATCATCAATGGAGAAATGCTCATGAGTTTTATTTTTACCTCTGTACGTGGCTGACTTAAGTTATTAATTTCTGTATCATAAGACTACTTAACAGTAAAGGATCTGACTCTTGAATCTGGCTCCCTCCAAGAGAGACTCAAATATTGAGCATTAAGATAGAGTGCAGGTGGGTGAGTGTAGGCTTGCAAGGTAACTATCCTTTCATGGCTACCAAATGCTTTCAAAGGAGCTCTGGTGGCACAGTGCCTAAGGCACCTGACTGCTAACCAGAAGGCTGGCAGTTCAAACCCACCAGCCATACCTCGGAAAGACGGTTGGGCCAATCTACCTCCATAGTGATACTGCCTCGGAAACCCAAGGAGGGGTCACTACGAGTTGGGTGTGACTTGATGGCAAATAACAACAAATGCTTACAAATGGCCATCCCTCAAGGTATAGACTAGGCAAGGCTCACCTCACCATTTTCCAATAATGGCGGTCATTGTGCATTTTTAAGGAATTTTAACATTTGACGCCCTGAGGAAATTTCACTTGAAATTAAATAAATTTTTCCAAGGTATATGCTTTAACCCAAGACTTCTATCTAAAATCTGAAAAAAAAAAAAAAAAAAAAACCCGAACAAACTAAATTTTGTCTTTACTTCCAACAAAATCCAACTTGGTAATATCTCAAATACTGCTGCTTGTACTTTACCTGAGGACAGAGGGCTTCTAATTGGCTTGCAGACATTCTAACAAGTTTCACACCTTCTTCATTGTTTGAGATGGAGCAGGCTAGGTTGGCAACCTGTAAGAAGAAACAACATGAAAAGATCTTCAAAGGTTTTTCTCTTTTGACTGCTAACAGAAACAAACATGTGCCCACCCCACTCTTGACCACTCTAGAACAGATGACAATAGCATCAGTGTTGTGTCTCAGAGATTTCTTATCAACTTATGAGGGCACATTTTTCATCTGTGCTAAGCAAGTGATGCAAACTCATAACATGGGCGACCTTGTGTGCTAATGGCAGAACTCTGAAAGATCCTGTAAACTGGAATCACTCTGGAAACAGGTTATCCTGGTGTAGGTAATGATGTGGGAAAAGCTGAGGAGTCAAGGGCATCAGAATAGAGTTACTGCTCACTACAAATGAAAACACATTTTGCAGCTGTTCTCAAAGAAAGGAAATCAAAAGTCTAAGTTGCTATTCTCATTTGACAGGTGAATGAATGGTTACTGTAAGTCAAGATGAGTTTTATTTGAACAAAGGCTATTTTACAAATTAAAAAATAGTATTAAGACAACATCAAGATGGAAGAAAGGCCATTCTCATCAAAAATGGAAAAAAAAAAATAGAGATAATGTCCCATAGTTTACAGTAAAATTGTCCTTCAACTGGGCTCTCAAAAACATTGACAGCTGCACTCCTTCCTGAATGATGCTGCCTTACTTGAAATAAAATCTTTACCTTCCCATCTAACTCTCATGATATAGCTCATGCACAACTATAGCCAGAAACAATCTTTCTAAGTAATGTCATACTTCCTCTGCTCAAGTGCTGGCTATGCTAAGAATGTTGCTCTGCGCAACTGCTAAGGCTGAGATCACTTATCCACATTTCTAAATGAACGGGTTTGCCAATTCCATTACCAGTACCCAGGTTCAACTCAATCCACAGTGCTGAAACACATCTTTCTCCCAGTTGCAAACTGAGTTATGAACGACAGAGGCATAGGCAGTTGAATATCAAAGGCACTCTCCGGGCATTTAAATGCAAGAGTAAACAAGGGCAATGGCAACAACCTTTGATTTTTACCTCCACCCAACTTAAGCACATAAACGCACAAGAAAAATGATACTCTATTATGGCTGTTGTCTGCAGTGTGTTTCAGTTAAGGATTGTCGGCTTTCTATTACGACTACTAACTATCAGAATTCTGTAATGCCTAATCACAAGGAGAAACAAACGCAGCAAAACACATAAAAATTTAAGGAAACTGAAATTAAGCCAGATCTTTAATGCTTAAGGGGCCTTAAAAATCACACAGAGAAGTAACATCCCTGGAGCTTAAAGGCCCACCTTCTGATATCCACTAGACTGGAAAGAGGATGCCTCTCCATGATGAAAAGTTGTAGAACTGATTGTAGATTTCTATTTGTTTGCTTAAACATCACTGCAAACTACGACCTAAACTAAACTTTGTAAAACAAGAGTTTTACCACCAAAGTGTGCATATTATGATGCTATGCTAAAGGACAAAGCTTAAATTAGATGTGTTCATGAAGGGTAATCTACAACTTCTACTGCTTCATAGAAAACAAATACGAAATTTTATGTTGATCGTTGATTGAACAGTTTGAGAATCACAAAGATCTCTGGAGAGGTAAGTGCTCTAATACCCAGCACCCTCCCCCACTTTCATTGTTGAGGCGGCCAGCCAACAAAATGTTAGAATCAGAAAAATCAAGCACTGTGAGTTTCTGCCTTCTACCCTCTAGGCATTTCATTTAAATACATATTCTCCCAATTTTACAGGTCTTTGAAATACAGAAAAAATACTAAGAAGCAAAAGATTTAGTAAGTAATACCTACTACCAGATCAGATGAGTAAAGGTGGTGTTTGGCTAAGGCTGAAATGGCTGACTTCTTTAAACCATCTTTCCTGTTTCCTGATACAAATCATAACAAAACAAGGGATATGGGAGAATTGTTCTTTATTTTAAAACATTACTTTAAAAACATTTCTGATGTCCTGTCAAAGCACTAATGTTCTACAAGTATACACTACCCGTTCCAGGAGGCGCCCTGCCTGGCCTGAGAGGAGGAAACAGGCGCCTGTCACTGCCAGTCTTCTCCAGATGAATGCGCTTCAACTCACCCCCCAGGGACAGAGCTACTCACTTCTAACAATGACAAATGTGCAAATGCAACATCTCTGCAAGGCTAACCTCATATACTAGGTGCCACATTCCACTACAGTGAAAACTGGGGAACAGGGAAAGGGTCTGCCTAAATGCCTCCTTCAGCAGAAAATCTGAGGCTCAGGAAATCTGGGATAGCAAATAACACTGAGACTAAAAAAAGAGTCTGGAGTTTGAAGTAAAGGCACTTGGAACAGTTAACTTCCAAACAGAACCCAGCACAAGGAAGACTTTGTACAGGATTTGTTTGGAGAATAAATTACTTTATTTCTGCTGCCATGGTTATTTGTATATTAGTAACTTAAATGTCTGATTCCTGCTAATCCAAAAGGTGAGCTACGACTGACACTATGCCCACTAGCTTTGAGCCACGAAGGCTCTTTTGCATTGCTTCTGCCTATCCTGGATATGTGTGGACCTTGTAGAAGAGCAGAACATTTCAGGACAACTTGCAGCCCCCCCTGGGAAAAAACAATCAGCTCTGGATTCTTGCTGGTTTCAGTAATAGCTGTTGAGGAAAAGGCTGTCAGAGCCAGGCTGTGTCAGCTCAACAAATATGACATCTGTACATGACAAGAAATCTTTTCAATCATTTAGGAAATCTCTACCACTACACCACTGGATTTTCTTTACTTAAATTTATTAAATTCTGCATGGAGTTGGAGGTGGGGGTCATTTATGATCAATTTTACTCCATTATATATGTGTTGATGATTAAAAATAAAGTTCAATGTGATTAAGTTAAACAAACATAGGTCATATCCACTACCCTTAGTAACTCTTTCAGTCCTGATTTCTTGAGCTGCTCCACTACTCCTTACCCTAAAACCTTTATAGAAAGACAACAAAAGATTTCTTTTTCCTTTTGGTAATCTATTGGTTATTACTCTCCTAAACTGCTACAACTGAGAAGAACTGTGGCAGAGGGAGCTTAAAAGTGTAAGTTAGTGACATTAAGACTAAGTAGCAGGACAATGCACCGGAGCGCAAAACCAAAATTACTTGCCATGTGGCCTTGGGTCATGCTACTATATAAGTTATCTTCTATAAAAATCCAAACTCTCAAAAAGTCAAAGAAAACAGTAACTAAACTTCATAAAACTTTTTGTGAGAGGTCCCAACTAAAGTACTTATATACATTTCAGAAACATTCAAGAAGTACCCAACAATCATCATCAATCCCACAGGGAAAATGATAATGAACACAAATTAAGCCCCATCTTTCTGATTTCCAAGGAAGGGTATTGGCTATCTTACTAGAAGGAGGAACACATCTTACTAACATACTGTCATGGGGAGCCTGAAGGCTACACACTGGGTTAGCCGCTCACCAGATCACAGCTATCTGGATGACAACTTGGTGGCCTTGCCTTTTTAGAAGGTAGTTACAAAAGGGGGAGGGGAATCACACAAAATTTACTATTATATTTATTGTTAAAATGTTGGGGACTCTATCCATTCAATCATTCATTCTCTCTTATATAAAAGCCCCATATTAAGGAATTCTTAAGATTTTATTTTTTAAATAGGCTCTACCTCCCATGGGGGAGAAAATGGTTCACCAAAGACAACAAGCATGCATACGGGCAGCTAACAAAACATTAAGAGACGCAGGCCATCATTAGCCAACCCAAACCAAAACCCACTGCCACTGAGTTCATTTTGAACCACAGTGACACTATAGAACAGAACAGAACTCCCCCATAGTTAACAAGGCTGTAAATTTTTATGGAAGCAGACTGCCTCATCTTTCTCCTCTGCAGTGGCTGGTAGCTTCAGACTGCTGACCTTTTGGTTAGCAGTCAAATGCTTTAAATCAAAATTATAATGAGATACCCTCTCACCCTTGCAAAAATGGCACTGATAAAAAAAACTGAAAACAAAAAATGCTGGTGAGGTTGTGAGGAGCCTGGAACTCTTATACACTGCTGGTTGGACTGTAAAATTGTGTAACCACTATAGAAAATGGTATGACACTTCCTCACAAGGCCAGAAATATAAATACCATATGATCCAGCAATCCCACTCCTATGTATATATCCTAGAGAAGTAAGAGCTATGACATGAATAGACACTGCAACAAATAATGGAACTTAAGTGTTCATCCATCCTAAGTGAATGCAGAAATAAAATGTGGTACATACATCCAATGGAATACTATGCAACAATGAACAATAATGAGTCAACAAAACACCTAATAATACTGATGAATCTGGAGTACATTATGCTGAGTGAAATAAGCCAATTTACAAAAGGACAAATATTATATTATACTACTTTTATAAAAAGTCAAGAATAGGTTTACACACAGAAAGCAACATTTTTTGACAGTTACCAGGGATGGGTGAAGAAGGGAGGGAGAATCACATACTAGATGACAGACACATGTTAGTATTATGGAAGTGGCTCACCATACCAACCATCACCAAGGTAAATGAAGACACTCAGAGGTATGCAAGAATAAAGAACTACAAGTAAATGCTGTAACATATACAATTACATAACAGTAATGCTGCTGCTGTTGTTAGATGAATCAAGTTCTGACTCATAGCAACCCTATATACAGCAGAACAAAATACTGCTCAGTCCTGTGCCATGCGCACAATCCTTGCTATGCTTGAGTCCATCATCGCAGTCACTGTGTCAATCCATCTCGTTGAGTGTCTTCCCCTTTCTATCTGACCCTCCACTTTTCCAAGCATGGTTATCTTTTTCTCCAGGGACTGGTCCCTTCTGACAAAATGACCAAGCAGGTGAGATGAAGCTTAACCATTCTTGTTTCTGAAGAGAGCATTCCGGATCCACTTCTTCCAGATAGATTTATTTGTTCTTTAGGCTGTCCATGGTATTTTCCATATTCTTCCCCAATAACTCAATTCAAA